AGAGAGGAAGGGTGGCCCAGCCCCATATATGAGGAAAGTGAAGGTCTTCTGTCTCCAGCCCAGTGATGAAGCTCTTCCAGCCTCTGCAGGGGACGCAGAGCAGGGAGAAGGGAGTAGGGAGGGGTGGGGGCTGCACAGAGGGAATGCGAATGCTCAGGACGAGCACGGGCCACTCCTGGATTCAGCGTCCTCATCCGTAAAGCGGAAGGGGTCGGGATGGACTTGCAGGGCACGCTCCGAGGTCTCCCTCACGTCTAAGCTTTGTGCTTGTGTGAAGCCCATGTAACCCAGGTGCCACTTGTCTCTGAGGTGAGGCGATGTGGCAGGGCCCTCCCTGCACAAAGTCTGCGGCATATGGAGATTCCCCCCCCCACCTCTTATCTGCGGATCCCCAGGAGGGTCACAGTCTCTCGGCCTCCTTGGGGACCTTCTCCCTCTCACTGTCCTCTCCTTCACTACCACAGCCCACAGGTCGCCTCGTCAATAACCCCACCCGAAGTATTCCTGAGCATGGTTGACCTAGCCAAAGAGTTGAGAGAATCGGGGGTTAGGGGAGCGGCCCCCTCCCCCATCACCATCTGCCCCTTCCATCTCCCAATCAGCAACCGCATGTGAAGTCCCCACCCACGGTCCCTCTGCCGGGCACAGGGAGGCAGAGGTGACCCAGCCAGGACCCTGCTCTCCGGGAGCCTCCAGATATTCATAGAATCAGTGTATTCACTGGAGTCCTTAAAGGACATCGCAAGCAGAGGGCAGGGCGGGAGCGAAGGTACGGAGGGGGCCAGCATGAACCCCCAGGATCAGAAACAGGCCAGAGCAACGACGTTAGTAAGGATCGTGAGGTACTGAGAATGAGCACGCACTAAGACGAAGTCTGTGTGTGCGGCAGGTGGGTCCCCAGGGCGCAGCTCTGAGGCGGAGCTTCGCCTGCAGGAGGCTCATTAGGGAGCACCCTTAGGATTAGCTCCTGGGGGAGGGAGGGGGCGGAAGGAAGCCAGAGAGAGCAGTGAGAAACTCAGCCGTATTGTGGTCTCAGCCCTGATGGGACGACCCTTCAGAGCTGTCCTGGGTCGAGGCAAGAGGGCTCATTGGCCAGTCACTGGGCACAGGCTGCCCCTGATGGGGCGAGGGGGCGGGAAGGGTGTGGCCTTGGGCAAGGTGGCCGTCTCCTGCTGAGGCAATTCCCAAGGGGGCTGAGCAAGCGGAAGGCTGTCTTCCCGCAGTGCTTCCAGCAGCTGGGGTAGTAAGTAAGTCCTTCATCCCCAAAGGGGGTCCGGATGTTGCGTCACAGAGCCTGTGGCAGGAAGGAAAGGCAGTGTGGGGCCAGGCTGGGAAGGACAGTGAAGGCCAGCCCGATCGAGCTGCAGGAAAGCGGGAGGTAGGGCCGCAGAGCGGGATAGAGTCTGTGAGCAGAGACACCTCTGTAGTGCTTCAGGCCCGAGCTTAGAGTTCCAGGCGTGTCGGATGCCCACGGGGACATGCACATTTCTTGAAGGAATGGAGCAGAAGTGACCCACTGAGTAAGGGCATGGCATGGGGTGGAGTGGAGACCCGCCCCTAACATTCGTGGGGTCAGCAGCAGGAGGACAAATGGAGGCCTACATCCCCTCTGTCTAAATATTTAAATCATAAACCAAGGTAAAAACAAAACAAAACTGACTCTTAAGGAGAAACACATTGTATCTTCCTCACTTGACCGAACATACACCTTCATCACAGCCTTTGAGACCAAATTCGCGCTGAGAATTCTTGCACTTCCCAGAGTTCCACGCCTGAAAGAGCCAGCTCCTGGTCCACAGCCTGCGCCATCTCCTGTCTCGGGGGGTCTTGCAGTCTCAGTCACGTCCTCCCAGTCTCCACCCCAACCCGCCCTCAGAAGCCCTGAGCCAGGCCCAGGCCCCTGGCAGGTGCCGGGAGCTTGCTTGGGCTTCTCCGCAGGGATTTTGATCCTGGGTACCCGGAGTGTGGTGCCTAAGCACCTGGGTGGGCAAGTCCCCTGCCCAGCAAGCTGCTTGATCTTAGGGAGGGTGTGGCTGGAGGAAGGCCCGGGGCAGGTGGTTCTGGCTGGGCTCCCTGCGAAGCGGGCTCGCAGATGGAATTCATTTACTGGGAACAGCTCTTGGATCCACACTTGTGCAGGGAGGAGACAGAAGTGAAACTGGTTGCAAGCCAGCCCTGCCACCCCACAGAGCTCCAAGCCGGAAGGGACTTTCAGAATTACACCGCTTTTGCACTCCTGGGGGGTGGGGTGGGGGGGCACTGGCTGTGGCACCGGGCAAAGGGGTGTGACCTTGAGCTGAGAGCTGTCTGCAGCCAGGGGCTGACCTCGCTCCCAGCAGCAGGAGCACCAGGGCCTCTTGAATAGGGACCTGGCTCTGCATAGTGCCCACCGCAGCTCGGCCCTCTGGCCTGGGTCCCGGGACCCGCCAGGTCAGATGCCATGGCACCCGGCAAGGTGCGCCCGCCCCTGGCGGTTGGCTCTGGGGTTGGGGACTTGGGGACCTTCTTGACCGCCCTTTCTCCCCCCGCCAGTCTGCCTGAAGGGCGCCAAGGTGCACATGAAGTGTTTTCTGGCCTTCGCCCAGGCGAAGACCTTCCACGAGGCCAGCGAGGACTGCATCTCGCGCGGGGGCACGCTGAGCACCCCGCAGACGAGCTCGGAGAACGACGCGCTGTACGAGTACCTGCGCCAGAGCCTGGAGAGCGAGGCCGAGATCTGGCTGGGGCTCAACGACATGGCGGCCGAGGGCGCCTGGGTGGACATGACCGGCGGCCACATCGCCTTCAAGAACTGGGAGACGGAGATCACCGCGCAGCCGGACGGCGGCAAGGCCGAGAACTGCGCCGCCCTGGCCGGCGCGGCCAACGGCAAGTGGTTCGA